CTGCCCCTCTGCAGCTGTCCGAGCAGCATCAAGCTCAGACGCATTGCACTACGGCTGCTCCGGCTGCCCGAGGCCTATGCTAGTCTTCCTCCTCACGAGCTGGGGCCTCTTCTTGAGAGCCACTGGGTTGTCGTAGAGGGGGGGGAAAAGGAAGAAGGCGGCGCCTCTGTGATGCAGCGCCTCCTTCGGGCTCGAGACTGCTGTCGCCTCTGCTACAAAACACACCCCGTGGCAAAGGCTTTCCCCCATATGGGGTGGAGATACAGGTCTCCCCTAGAGCAGGGAGAGGCCTCTCACGAACAGCTCTAAGTTTTTTGTCAAGCTATAAGGGTCTACGCGACGGGGCCTGGCGGTTCTGTAGTTAACTGAAGCGAATACCCACGGAAACCTTGTGGCGGAGGCACACTTTCTGAAACACCCTGCAAGTTCAGCTGCGATTCAGTACTTTCTCCAGGTCTTATGTCTCTCACCGAAGCACGCATGGGGGCGGACAGGGCACAGTTCAAGAAACAGCCAGTATATTCATGTAGCAAGCGTCCGGCGACTTTGCTTTCTGTGGTATCGACGGCGCTGTTGGGGCCTCCGGGCTGTTACTTGTTTTTTCTTTGNCGGCGACTTTGCTTTCTGTGGTATCGACGGCGCTGTTGGGGCCTCCGGGCTGTTACTTGTTTTTTCTTTGTTTTGCTGACTTCGAATTCTAGAAAGCACGGACGCCGAAGTTCTTCGCCGTCGCCTTTCTCTGAATTGCTTCACACACACGATGGGGTGCTCGTGAGTGCGACCAGGCCATATCCAGAGCAAAGCTTCTAGTTCGTGTCAAGAGATGTTTTCTCTCTCCTGCTCACGACGCTGGCTTGTGCATGTGGCGACGGGTTTCGTAGCATATCAGTAGTGGAGAGATGTCACAGCTTCTTCCGCCTCCGTGGGGTTTGAAGGTTGCATACTTCTCTGCGTCGTCTTATCCTTCGGCAAGGGATTTTCGCAAGGCTTTCTTCCTCCTGCTTAGTGTGTAGGGGGAAATGAAGGCGTGCTACTACTCGATAGCCTTTGAGCGTCTACTGCCCAATGCCTCATGAGATGGCGATATAACTGTTATGTTGCGCTTGTCTTCTGGGGAATATACGGATGCACAATTGCAGTCTACCTGAATGGAAGGAGTGGCGCGTGCTCCCTCCCGCACATAAAATATCGCTTTCATGTATATTTAACCCCACTTTTGTGGGGAGAATGCCGGGATTCAGTGCATTGGTGAGCGGCTCTCTATTGCAGCTGAATGCGACACAGGAGATGAAATGGGCATATTCGCTGAGTCTATCCGCAACAACGTAAGTGTTATCACCGCATCTGACTGATGGTTAACACACCGTGAAAGCCACAGAGATATCCTTCCAGACCTGCCTAGGAATGGAGCAGTTGTCGAAGCACCCTGGCTTGAGCGCTTTACTCTGGTTATGTGAGGAAGCATTCTTCGGCTGATGGGATGCATCCAGGTCCACCGAAAGGATCTATCCTCAGGCTCCATTGGCGTTTTGACCCCAACCTGCCCTGCTGAAGCATTGTCGTACATTTTGCACAAAACGTCTGTAGGAAGCGAAGCTGGAACATGTAATATACCGAGTCGTCGCTCCATCTGGTACCATATGAGTCTGTCGTCAATGCTGTAGCGCTTAATCTCTCGCCCCTTGTCGAGCTTGACAAGAGCAGCAATCGCGTGAGTAACGAGAGGAGATAAGTTAGAAGAGTTAGAGAGCATCTCAGTCACTACTTCTGTGAGATACTTGATAAACTTGGCTGTGAAGTTGTACTGCGTGAGCCGGCAACGCCATCAAACGCCTCTCTCACTTTCGAATTAAGGAAGTGACGAGAGAGAGTATGCAGCAACGATCTCACTGTTCTGACCGATAATTAATTCCGGCCTGAACCCCCGTAGCTTGCGGGGGACTGCTTATCTGTCTAAACTGTTGGCTGCCTGCCACACAGGCTATGTCACCTCTCCATTGCAAGATGGTGTCTCACGGGAATGAGAATGAGTAAACTGTGATCAATTACGTGTTTATATGTGTAGTTAGCTTGTTGAGAGTGAATTTTCCTAACCTTACTGTGCCACTGCAGTCTGTTGATAACAAAAACACTTGTCTGTATGGGGGAATGCGAGTACTGGAGACAATTTCACGATTCCGACGATTATTCTAGCAGCTGCTACTTTGCCCTGCATCTAGTTGTTTGCTTTTACTTGCTAGTTTAAATTTAAAAAAAAGATCTGTTTGGACAAGATACTGCAGTTAAAAAATTTCTTGCCTCGCGTATCTCAATGTCAGCATTGCCCCAGTAAAATGCAGGGTGTCGCTAATATAAGGGGATCAAGGGATGACGTTCCGGTAGCATGACTCGAAGTCGACGAGCCTCTGAGCATCCAGGAAGCGGCAACTTCTGAATTGTCGGTGTCGCCGCTGGAGTTCGTTCAGGTGCATCTGCAAAAAGGCAACCATGTAACATTAGTTATTTGTGTAGAAAATAAACGCCATTGTGGTTTTTCACATGTACAAGCTCTAGCGCACTCCACAAGAGTGCCAAGTTTTCCTGGATATTCTGGTTGAAAATCAGTGCATCGTCCAGGTATATCGCCATACACCGCCCTTTGGGCGCACCAAATCGCAGTTGGCCTGTCGTTACATTGTGAGCCGAGGGGCACACAAGTGCGTTCTAGCTTGCAAGTGCAGGCTTGGAACCCAGTACTGTGTCTGTCATCTGGATACGGTGGAGTATGGGAGAAACCGCCAGCGGCATCAAATGGCAACGTGACCGCTGATAACTCTGTACAGCCACAAACTAACTTATTAACACTTTCCAATTTCATGGCACTCTTAATGTGTTTATAGCCTCGATGTATGTGACCTGCTTGATGACAGTCGAAGCAGGTCAGTCGCTCTGTTGGAACCCGTAGCTTTCACTCGCTTGCTGACCTCTGTTACATTTCATTTTATGCATCTGGATGGGAATGGTACCCACGTCTCCTGTGAACATGTTTGCTTTTTCTCGCAATCATGCTGTGCGAGTACGTGCATCGGGAGTCTTCAGCGTTATCTGAGGACCCTAGCGAGACGTTATCGAGTTAAAGCCCCTCTAGAAGCATGAATTCTTAAACCCCTTTTTGCAGCGTACAGCGACGCCGTAGTTTGTTGTTTAACGCTTATTCGGTTGCCGAGGAAGACAGCTGTGATCTACAACGGAGTAGAACTACTTGAGATAAAAATTTCCAAGTGGCAACGGGCTTCCTCTCCTCTCACCAGACAGCCTGAGGCAGGCAGCTCAAGGACCTGGATCGGCGGCAAAGAAGGTGGCTTAGCACGAGCTGCAACGCACCGTGCTGAAACACATGCTGCAGCGCAACTCCAGATGCATGCACAACCAATCTCCTTAGCTGTATGAATTAACAGTATCTACGATTGCTGCCCGCTTACTTAGCCATCAGTGCCAGTCTGCACGCAAGTTGGAATACACAGACTAGCGTCACATAGACAGTGCTACACTAGTACCTCGCCAGCAGCATTTCCCCTGTACTCTGTCTCTACACGGAATGCCTCGAGGCCCTGGATGCAGCACACACGGCGTATACTGTTGGTGCACGCGGGGCACCCCCAGAGGCTGCCTGTTGTAGTGGGAGCTCTGGGCCCTCTTCTCTGTATGTGTGTGTACTCCTCATAGTATNAATTCTTTCTGCCTACTATAATTATTAATGTGAGTTTAAACCAAAGACAGGGGCCCTGAAACATCCTCTTCATTGCAGTGGGCCCGCAGGGGCCCTTCGGCTGTAGTGGAGGCCCCCCAAGCCCGGCCCCTTGTCCCGTGGTGTTTGTATCCCTTTTTTTTTCTCTCATTTTGCCTCAGTTTGTGGCGCCAGTGTTTTTTTAATGTATTAAACTGCCTCGGTTTTACAACGCAGAGGAGCAGCAGCTGCTGGGGTGAAGGGGCGGGGGCCTCCTGGGCGGGTCGCGAGTTATCGTTTTTGTGTTGGTGGTGTGGGAGGCCGTCTGCCTCCTCCTGTAAACCCCCTGGAGTTTATTGAAGGGAAACATATAAACACTTAGTATATAACACAGACAGGAGGAGATGTTCGGAGCCGCAGCCCCCGGGACAGCTGCAGGGGGGGGCCTCTTCGGCTCGGCCTCACAGACCCCAGCAGCAACAGGAACAACCACCGGCCTCTTTGGGGGTGGTGGTACAACAGCAGCAGCATCAGGAACAACACCAGCAGCAGGCACAGGAGTAGCGAATACAGGCGCTGCAGCTAACACCGCAGGGGCCCCAGCCACAGGTGGAACAGGCTTTGGTTTGTTTGGGGGGGCCTCCTCAACTACTCCTGCAACAAATACTACAGGGGGGGGCCTCTTCGGGTCTACTGCTACTGCTGCTCCTGCTGCTTCTGCTGCTCCTGCTGCTGCTTCCGGGGGCCTCTTTGGGAATACCACTACCGGCACTACTGGGGGGGGCCTCTTCGGCAGCAGCAGCGGAGCGAACGCAGCAACAGGCACAGGAGGAGGGGGCCTCTTTGGTGGTCTTTCCACGGGTACAGCTGCCCCCAGCAATACTGCTGCTGCAACTCCTGCAGCAGCAACAACGGGGGGCCTCTTCGGTACCACGGCAGCAACAGGAACAGCAGCACCTGGTGCAGCAACAGGGGGAGGCCTCTTTGGGGCTCCCAAGCGTACAGCATCAACTCCGACAACAGGGGGTCTCTTTGGCAGCAGCACGAACACCGGGGGTGGTCTCTTTGGTAGTAGTAGCAGCAGCAGCAGCAACGCCACCAGCAGCAACACGGGGGGCCTCTTCGGCAGCAGCAACACGGGGGGAGGCCTCTTCGGCACTAGTAGCAGCAGCAGCAATACTGGCGGAGGCGGCCTGTTTGGAGGCAGCAGCAACACTGCCAGCAGCAGCAGCAGCAGCAGCAGCAACGGGAAGGGAATCAACATAAGCACAGCGGCATTTGGGGCGATAGACTGGCGTGCTGCTGCGCTGCTGCCGCGGCAGCCCACACTAGAGAGTCTGGGTCGGGTGCTGCAGCAGCTGCCTCAGGGGGCCCGCGAGGTGGAGATACACCTGAGAGAGCAAGAGAGACAGCTGGAGTCTCTGCAGGCCCAAACCCTCGCCTTAAAGAAGTATGTTCTCTCTGCGCCTCGCTGCGCTGCTTAGCATGATAGATACTGTGACGCCACCATGATGAGGGTTTAGGGTCTAGGGTTTAGGGTTTAGGGTTTAGGGTTTAGGGTTTTTGTCTCAGGTCGTTCGGATCCTTAGAGGGAGGCCTGGCGGCAGAGGCAGCGAGGGTAGCGGCTGCGGGGCACCGCGTCGCCGTAGCTAGCCGCCAAAGCAACGCCGTGAGGCCCTTGCTGGAACGCGACAAGGTGAGGGTTTAGGGTTTAGGGTTTAGGGTTTAGGGATGGGGAGGCAGATGCTTTCTTGCATAGAGGCGAGGCCCCCAGACCACCTGACGGGGGGCCCCAAGAGCTGTCAGGAGATGGGGGCCCCTAGGGGGCCCCCGTCTCCAGGCCTCATACCTCTGCAGTGCTGCTGCAGTGGGGTGGCTGCGCCCCCAATGCATGCATGGTGGCTGCATGCTGCTTTTCTGTTGCTGCTGCCTTCATCAGAATGTTTGTCTTCAAGTTGAACAGCTGTATCAGCAGCTCGTACAGAACCTCGCCGTTGCTGCAACAGGTGCTGCAGCACAAGGAGCAGCTGTGCCGTGCGCGCTGCCTTTACAGGTGCAGCTCTACCCACACTAGCTAGCTAGCCAGCTAGCTAACCAGCTAGCCAGCTAGCCATACAAGCAACAGCTAGCCAATCAAGCAGCAGCTGCCTCGTTGCTTCTGCTCAGCTGTAGCGCAGGAAGTCAGCACGAACCTGCGGCAACTGCGCCGACGGCAGCTTAGGGTTTAGGGTTTAGGGTTTAGGGTTTAGGGTGGGGGGTAGTTGTGTTTCTGTTTGTTTCTCAGGTCCCGTGTGCACTGGCTACGCCCTGCATCCAGCAGCTGCTGCAGTCTGTTGAGGCAGCCCGGGAGCGGCTGCATCTGTTGGAGGCTCAGGTTCAAGAGCTGCGTTGTGCCCAGGAGGGGGGCCCCTCCGATGGGTATGGGGGCCCCTCTCTTGGTGGTACCCAGCAGTCAGCAGGCTGTGGGGGCCCCTC